TAGAACGCATCTTTAAATTTATAAGATGTGATGACGCTGAAAGGGTAACATTTTCAGTGTTTATGTTAAAGAAGGGGGCTAGCCATTGGTGGGACATGACTACTAGGTCATTAACACCTGCTGAAGAACAGGCTATAACTTGGGAGAGGTTTAAGGAACTGGTAGAAGAAAAATTCTTCCCGGCAGCGGTGAGAGATCAAAAGGAGATGGAGTTCCTCAGACTCCAGCAGGGAACCATGACCCTCGTGGAATATGAACGTAAATTTGAGAAATTATCAAAGTTTGCTCCACATCTAGTGGATACCAAGGAAAAATGGGCTAGAAGATTTGAGCGTGGACTTCAACCTTATATTCGTGACATAGTGTCAGTTCTTGAGCTGGGCACTTATCGAGAAGTTCTGAAGCGAGCCCAGACTATTTCTTATCAAAGAACTCAAAACATTGAAAATTCTTACCAAGTTCAAAATTCTCAGGTAAGAGGAAGTGGAATTTTGATAAACAGAATATCGGCAAAGGAAAAGGGAATAATGTATCACAGAAAGGAAGAACGGATATATCAGGAGTTAGTGGTGAAAGGCGTTGTCCTAAGTGCGATACACCTCACAAAGGAGAATGTCTATTCGGTAAAAATGTTTGTTTCAGGTGTGGTAAATTAGGACATTTCGTTAAAGAATGTCCCCAAAATCAGACACAGAAGGCTGGAGATGATAAGAAAGGAAAAGCAAGAGTTTTCTCCTTATCTAGGCAAGATGCTGAACGAGACCCTAATGTCGTCGCAGGTATCATCTCTGTTTCCAATACTCCTGCATTTGTACTTATAGATTTTGGAGCTACACATTCGTTCATTTCTTCTTCTTTTGTTGCGAAGTCTAAAGTGGAATGTGAATTCCTTCCGTATACTTTAGAAATATCTCTTCCATCTGGAAAGATACTTGTCGCTAATTAAATAGCTAGAGATCTTAGGATGGAAATTGATAGTAGAAGTATAGCAGTAGATCTAATTCCATTAACAATAAAAGACTTTGATGTTATCCTTGGTATGGGCTGGTTATCTAAAAACCATGCAACTATTTATTGTACTGAGAGAATGGTGGTTTTTCGAAGACCGAGCGAGGAAGAGTTCCGTTTTGTGGGAACTGAGGTAAATAGCTCGTCTGGTGTAGTGTCAACAACCCAGGATGAAAGGATGCCGAGAAAGGAATTAGATTAAAGATTTCTAGTATCGATGACTGATATTAAACAAGATAAGTTGTCAATTGAGGACGTTCCAATAGTTCGACACTATAATGATGTGTTTCTAGAAGACCTTCTAGGTGTACCACCAGACAGACAAGTAGAGTTTACCATTGATTTGGTACCAGGAGCAACACCCATTTCAAAGGCTCCATATCGTATGGCTCCGTTGGAATTACAAGAGCTGAAGGTACAGTTGAAGGAGCTTCTTGATAAGGGTTTCATTAGACCAAGTGTATCACCGTGGGGTGCACCTGTGTTATTTGTGAAAAAAGAAGGATGGAACAATGAGGTTGTGCATTGATTATCGAGAACTGAATCGCCTCACTATCAAAAACAAATACCCACTTCCAAGAATAG